CTGCTACTACTACTGTTACTATTACTGCTGCTGCTGCTGCTGTTGCTGCTGCTAGTGTAGCTATTGCTACTGCAACTACTGGCAGTGCCACTGCGACTGCCGCTGATGTTGCCACTGCGATTGCCACTGCGAATCCGAATGCGACTGCGAGAACACCAGAATTCTACAACAGTATCTTGCATGAATACCACAGGCAATGTTTCCAGCTATGCTCCTACACATCGCTGTTAGGTTGCTTTGCCGGGATAATTCCCAACCCTCCTGCGTTGGGTTCTCGTTTTGAATAGAGCACTGCTCGCGCGTCTCCTTCCCACCCCCTCCCGTCCCTCTCTTCCCCCCTGCCTTTCGCCTCGCTGGTCGCTGCGTGCCAGCTGGGGGGCTGCGATCTGTGAAACTGTCGCCACTTTCGAGGCCTGCTGGGGGGGCCAGCACAGTGGGTACCCACGGCGGAGTCAAATGGGACCTCGCCGTCCCTGGGGGGCTGCGATCTGTGAAACTGTCGCCACTTTCGAGGCCTGCTGGGGGGGCCCAGCACAATGGATACCCACGGCGGACTCAAATGGGACCTCGCCATCCCTGGGGAGCTGCGATTTGTGAAACTGTCGCCACTTTCGAGGCCTGCTGGGGGGCCCAGCACAGTGGGTACCCACGGCGGACTCAAATGGGACATCGCCATCCCTGGGGGGCTGCGATTTGTGAAACTGTCGCCACTTTCGCGGCCTGCTGGGGGGCCCAGCACAGTGGGTACCCACGGCGGATTCAAACGAACCCTCGCCATCCCTGGGGGGCTGCGATCTGTGAAACTGTCGCCACTTTCGAGGCCTGCTGGGGGGCCCAGCACAGTGGGTACCCATTGCGGATTCAAATCGGACCTCGCCATCCCTGGGGGGCTGCGGTCTGTGAAACCGTCGCCACTTTCGAGGCCTGCTGGGGGGCCCAGCACAGTGGGTACCCACGGCGGACTCAAATGGGACCTCGCCATCCCTGGGGGGCTGCGATCTGTGAAACTGTCGCCACTTTCGCGGCCTGCTGGGGGGCCCAGCACAGTGGGTACCCACGGCGGACTCAAATGAGACCTCGCCATCCCTGGGGGGCTGCGATCAGTGAAACTGTCGCCACTTTCGAGGCCTGCTGGGGGGCCCAGCACAGTGGGCACCCACGGTGGATTCAAATGTGACCTCGCCATCCCTGGGGGGCTGCGATCTGTGAATCTGTCGCCACTTTCGAGGCCTGCTGGGGGGCCCAGCACAGTGGGTACCCACGGCGGACTCAAATGGGACCTCGCCATCCCTGGGGGGCTGCGATCTGTGAAACTGTCGCCACTTTCGAGGCCTGCTGGGGGGCCCAGCACAGTGGGTACCCACGGCGGACTCAAATGGGACCTCGCCATCCCTGGGGGGCTGCGATTTGTGAAACTGTCGCAACTTTCGAGGGCTGCTGAGGGGCCCACCACAGTGGGTACCCACTGCAGATTCAAATGAGACCTCGCCATCCCTGGGGGGCTGCGTCCTGTGAAACTGTCGGCATTTTCGAGGCCTGCTGGGGGGCCCAGCACAGTGGGTACCCCCCGCAGATTCAAATAGGTCCTCGCCATCCCTGGGGGGCTGCGATCTGCGAAATTGTCGCCATTTTCGAGGCCTGCTGGGGGGCCCAGCACAGTGGGTACCCACGGCGGATTCAAATGGGACCTCGCCATCCCTGGGGGGCTGCGGTCTGTGAGACTGTCGCCACTTTCGAGGCCTCCTTGCGGGGCCCAGCACAGTGGGTACCCCCCGCAGATTCAAATAGGTCCTCGCCATCCCTGGGGGGCTGCGATCTGCGAAATTGTCGCCACTTTCGAGGCCTGCTGGGGGGCCCAGCACAGTGGGTACCCATTGCGGATTCAAATTAGACCTCGCCATCCCTGGGGGGCTGCGGTTTGTGAAACTGTCGCCACTTTCGAGGCCTGCTTGCGGGGCCCAGCACAGTGGGTACCCACGGCGGACTCAAATGGGACATCGCCATCCCTGGGGGGCTGCGATCTGTGAAACTGTCGCCACTTTCGAGGCCTGCTGGGGGGCCCAGCACAGTGACGCCACAGGCAGATTCAAATTAGACCTCGCCATCCCTGGGGGGCTGCGATCTGTGAAACCGTCGCCACTTTCGAGGCCTGCTTGCGGGGCCCAGCGCAGTGACGCCTCCCAAGTAGCTTACACATCAAGTTGATTGTCCATACAAGTTTCGGCCAACTCCTCGTTTCCATTAATACAAATGGGCTGGGTACGTCACAGGGTATTTCCCACAGCCTCCTCGTGGAAAACAAGAGTAAGGAAACTCTGGCCTCCCCAGCCGCGAAGCCGCGGCCGTGGCGGCCCGCCGCTGCGCACGCCGGCCTCTCCTGCTGCTGCCGCTGCTGCTCGTCTTCCTTGGTGGGCCGATTTTCCATCACCGCTACCACAGTCGCAGGCCTAAAGGTTGACACCAACACCAATATCGGCGGTGTGCCTCCACCAAGGGAAGAAGATCTCGATATCGGTGATGGTGGTAATACTCTGGCTTCCAAGGTGACTGAAATATTACCACCAACGCCGAAATCTAGGATCTTCTTCCCCCTGTGGAGGCAAACCCCTGTGTTGGTGTGATGAGAGGGAGGAGGAAAAATACCTGCCCGTCCTACCTTCCCCCCGTCCTACATATAGTCGTGGAGGTGGAATGTTGGCCCATCATTCCTCGCGGCTAGTCGGCACGATCGAAATCGGTGCGGAAGGTTCGCGTCGTGTCGACCGGCAGCAACCCCGCCGTCGGCGTTTAACGTTGATTGAGTGCCGCTGGCCACCCAGAATCGGTCGACGTTGAAAGATCTGACGTTTCGGAAACGGGCCGATTGTTCAAGGTTGAACGATCCCCGCGGTGTCAGGAACCAACGCCAGGGTCGACACGACACGAACTCGCGGCACGAAGAGAATGGGTACGAAGGCCGACAGAAGTTCCTGCCCGTTGTTGATCGGCATTCGCTGTCGGTGTCGCCGCAGGCGGTGTCCATTTTCGACATACGGCCGCCCGCCCAGCAGCGGCCGCTGTCGATTCTTGGGGCAGCATTTGTTGTTGGGAATCGTGGGAACAACACACACACACAAAACACACAAAAACACACGCTTGTGGGGAACAAAAACACGCGCTTGTGGGACAAACACACAAAAACACACGTTTGTGTGTTTCTTTTCACACGTGTGTGTTATTTCCAACAAACTCGTGTGTTTTTGCCAATTTTTCCGTACCCATCTCAGGCGTCTGCAGCCACGCGCCACGCGTAGGCGCGACTTTGTTACCCTTGGTGCGGGCCTACAGTCAGCGGACGAAGAGCGGTACATTGGGAGGCTTTAATCAATTAATGGAGTGGGTCGGCTTGCGGTGGGTGTGAGATCAAACATGAAAACTTGCATTGATTTCGTCGCTGCCCGTCGTCGATACAATAAAACATCCCCCGATCGGGGACGTTGCCCCAGGCAGGCCGGACAGCTCATACCCCGGCGTGCCACCGTAGGGGTCTGAACCTTGTAGCCGCCCGGGGGGGACGGCGGAACGGTTTGTTCAAGACCGCTCTCTTCGCCCGTGGACGTCCTCGGCGTCGCTCGGGCGTGTGCCTTTCTCCCTCGGCGAGGACCATCTAGGAACATCCTGGGTCATTTGGCGAAAGATCGCAGGCCTAGAGGTCGACGCCAACACCAAAATCGGCGGTGTGTCTCCACCGAGGGAAGGAGATCCCGGTGGTAATGTTCTGGCTTCCAGGGTGACCGAAACATTGCCACTGACACCGAAGCCTAGGATCATCTTCCCCATGTGGAGGCGACTCCCGGTTTTGGTGTTGGTGCCAATTGCTTGGGCGTTTCGTAATGGGGGGGTCATAAATGGGGGGGTGGCGAGGGTGGCCCGAAAAGGTACCCAAACGGTACCTAAACGAGCCCCCTGGGGCTCTGGAGGGGCCCGAAAGGGGCACGAAAGGGGACCTTTTCTGACCCCCCCATTTGTGACCCCCCCATTAAGCCACGCCCAAATTGCTGGGCCTCCCAAAAAAGCCACGCACGAAACCGACAAAAAAACACAGGGAACGGACGCCCGAGCGATGGCCAGCCCGTCGGGGTCCCCCCCATGCAGAGGGCCTGCGCGCCTGGACCCCGGCCGGGCACGCCTGGGCCTCGGCCGACCCGCGGCCCCCTCGTGCTGCTCACCAGAGGCCACCAGTGCCCAGGGGGAAAAACCTACGAAAACACACAAAAACACACACAAAAACACACAAAAAACCCTGCCCAGGGAAAAAAAAACAAACAAAAAACACACACACAAAACATACACACACACACACACATTGTGGGGACAAAAAACACAACACGCAAAACACACACACACACACAAACACACACACACACACACACACACACACACACATTCACACACACACAAACAAAACACTGGAGGACAAACAAAAAACACAGTGTGTCTTGTGTGTGCTTTTCCCACACTCTTTGCGAGCATCCGGCAGTTGGTCGTGTCGGACGGCAGGGGTGGTGATGGGGAAGGGCGGGTCACGAAGTCTTGTGCGTGCAGCTGGTATCGGCCCTGCCGCCGGGAGCTTTCCCCGATACAGTGGCGCCTTCGGCGCCGGGAGGCGCCAGGCAAAGCCAGTTGCGCGAGCCGATTCGCTAATCCCTCCTTTCTTCCGACCCGACTTGCCCTCCCTGCTCTCTCACGTTCTCCTGCTCGTTGGCTGCCCTTTGTCCTTCATCGCCCTCCGCCCGTGCGTGCGGTAGTCAGGAGGGAAAGAAACACACAGACACAATGAATCGTCGATTCCTTAGAAAATGCAGGAAAATATAGGCAGTGGGGGGGAAGACAGAAACCCAGAAGATATAGGAAAAGATGGAGGATCTTTTCATTTGTGTGTATCTATTTGTGTGTCCTGGGGCGCCTTCGGGTAGAGCGTTGGCCGTCCGCGGTCGGCCAAAATCGTGGACCCCGAGGAGCAGGCGACCCAGCACGTCCTTGTGCACCACGGCGGCGACGCCATGGTGAGACGGGTCGGGTCAAGAGGAGGAGGAGGAGGAGGAGGAGGAGGAGGAGGAGGAGGGAAAGGAGGAGGAGGAGGAGGAGGAGGAGGAGCGAGGAGCGAGGAGGAGGAGGAGGAGAAGGAGGAGGAGGAGTAGTAGGAGGGAGGAGGAGGAGGAGCGAGGAGGAGGAGGAGGAACGAGGAGGAGGAGGAGGAGGAGGACTGGAGGAGTGACTTGTTCCTTGATTGGGCTGGCATGTCTTCGTAAAGCCCTGCTGCATGCTTCATTCCAGTGGCGATCATATCTCGCGCGACGTGATCAGCGGATTGGTTGCCCGAGTCTTCTGTGCATGCGCTGTTCCGTCCCGGCTCTACGCTTAAGCTTGCTTTGGCCTGGGCCGAGTATTCTTGTCAGGACATTGTTATCATGCAGTCGCAATGGCTCCCCGAGGTCTCTTTCAGGCCAGGCTGGAGACAAGTGCAGTACTCCATCAATCATAGTGCCAGGCTGGGGGCCCATGACAATGAGGACACTGCTGCAGGTAGAAGTTATACCGGACTCCGAAAGCGTTCTTTGATGCTCCATCCTTAGGCGGATGTCTCACAGTGCGGTGTAGCCAAGTTTCTTGAATCTGGAGTTGCGGATCGCGCGGTGGCCCAGAGCCGAGACGCGTGTGAGGTGGCGGGGGCAGTTGTCTTTGGCGCTCGGGGCGGGTGTCGTAATGGAGGATGGCGATTAACAAATGACTGGGGGTCGTGTTCACGCGGCGGCGCCCGGGATGACGATTAGAAAAAACCGGCCGCGGGCTGGAGAATTATGTTTTTAATCGTTCTCCTCCAGTCAGAAAGTTGTGCAGAAATCGCAGGAAACTATTTGTTTAATCGTTCTCTCCCATTTGTTTATTCATCGTCATCCCGCATTACCATTATCGTTGCCACCGTCACCGGCATGAAGGTTGGATCCTGGCCGCCGCGCAGCCGTGCTGTGCCAGCATCGGAGACTGCCTCGTGCCAGTCCTCAGCGGTGCCGCGGCTGCCTCCCTGACGTGCCTCAGCTGCGTCACGGCCACGTCGGAGCTACTGCGCGACGGCTTCACACATGCCGTACCACCTCGCGTAGCAGTGATCCAATCGCCGCATCTTGGCTTTTTCGGTGCTCAGTGCTCGCCCACAGACAACTCAGCGGATCCCCTCAACACCATCAGCTACCAGCTACCCGATTGAAATGTTGTATGATCCCACAGGCACCACGTTTTCTCAAGGCTGCTCCACAGCTCTAAATCCGCACCACATCCAATATACCAGAGGGTTACATGATTGCCATCATAGACCTCCTATTCTTCGGAATTCGCAACTATCCCACGGGGTCCTCGTATATAGCCCAGTGCCCATGGTCGTGACAGAGGCCTTCATAGCCAAGACTTGGTGTGTTAGATGACTTTGCCTTGCTACTTGGTACCGCAGGAAACACGCATGGTCAGAGTGTCTTGCTGGTAGGCTTCTGCTGGGATATTGTGTGCCCGCTTGGTGGTCGACTCGTAAGGTATCGTGTTGCCTAGACTGTCGTGAATGGTAGTCGCACCGCTATGCATTATTTTTGCTTATGCCAAATAGCAGACGCTTGGGATCCCAAACTGTGTATCACGTTTGTTGTCAGTCTAGGCTGTTCATGTTTCGCGTAGCTATTGCACGCGCTTCCCGCGCACGCTTGCATCGTCGCGCGTTGGGCTCGCCTCGAAACATGGATCATATGACTCGCGTGCGGACGTGTTGGTTTGGGAGCTGGTATTCGCCACGTTATTACGTAGCCGCTTGGCCACAGAAGGGGCGCATGCGATCGGCCCGGGCGGCATGGCGCTGTATCAGCCCAGTGACTTGCCAGAAGAGTTAAGTCGGCCTCTACAGGAGGAGCATTCAAAGATAATCATCAAATAGTCTGGGGACGATGTTTTGAGTATGGTTTGAATACGTTTGGGTATGTTTGGGGTATGTTTCGTTTTTTCACCCAAAAGCCCCATGTATGGGGGACATGCCCGACCTAACAGCAGAGGGCCCGAGCAGATGGTGTGCGAGGCCTGCGGGCCGCTGTCGCAGCCGTCCGTTGAGGATTGGACCTCGGCCTCCCGCGTGCCGTCGCTCGACAACTACACCTTAGGCGATGCTTAAGAAAACCCAAGTTTTCGGCCAGAGTCTCGATTATTCTTAATGTTTCAATGTAAATCCTAAGATTTTAATAGAAATGCTGGATTTTTTATTCAAGTTCTGAGACTATGAATTTCTTAACCCATGATTTCTTAAGCATTTCGCAGGGTGTACAGGCGGTACAGCGAGCGGCTTGCATACGGACCACTCGCTTGTCAAAAGGGGATCGGTCGTTCCTTAGGCTCGCATGCGTTATTTGTCGCTCCTTATGCGTTCTTTAGTATGCATCGTTTCTTGTACGTTACTCCTTGGGAAAAGGGGGTTCGTTCCTTATGTATCGTTCCTTGGGTCAGGCCGATGACTGTACATGGAGAAGCGGGCCAACGATGTTTACGACTTCTTGCATCGTGAGTTCCAGGTCGAGCTTCTTAGATGCCGCGTTTGCGCCGCCAAGGGGCGCAGCATGAACGGAGGGTGGGCCCGCCATGCCCCAGGCAGGGCTCATTTCAGAGCTGACACGCAACCCGTCCAGTTACTGGGAAACGCTGCGTGTCGCTGGCGCTCTGCAGGTATGCAGATTCAGGGACCGACCACCAGCAGACCTGGACGAGGACGCAGCGCCCTCACTGATGGCACTGGCGCGGCCCCTATTGATGCCAATGCAGGTGGCTGCCCTGGCTGCCTGCGGCGCGACGCAGCACCACGAAGCCGACCGCGCGCTGGCGCCGCACCACCAGCAGCCGCAGCATGGATGTTTGCCGCCTCCTCATTCGCGGGAGTGCCCTCCGCAGACCCCAGCTGCCCTGCAGGAGGCAAGGCCGCCACCGTCGTGCACCTCGCAGCCTGGAGTACCTCCGAGTTCGGGCTCGGAGTCCGCATATCCTGCGGTGCCCAGCGCCTTCACGCGCTTCGACTGCAGGCAGCCCGCGGTGCAGGGCCCGGGGCCAGCAAGGGAGGCGGCGCGCGCGACCTGGGGCCAGCCAGCGGTCCTGGCGCACGGGTGGCACGGCGCGGTCTCGCCGCCACGGCCCCCGCCGCCCCCAGTCGGCCCGCAGCGGGCGGACGTGCAGGGCGAGCCGCCGCGGGGCAAGCCACCGCCACACGGCATGCCGCCATGGAGCAGGCCGCCCGCCACTGGCGCCCGCAGCGAATGGTTCGAGAGGCGTGTGCCATTACGCCGACGCCCCAAGGGTGGATGGGCAAATGCGATGTTCAGATGAGGGCGAATTGAGACAACGGTAATTCGCCCTCGGGGGGGTCCCTCGTCGCCACGCTGGGCGCAGCTCGGGAAACTGGTGCGTTTGGACACCGGGAGTGGATCAGGAGACCGATTTTGAGTTGCCGTTGTTTCACTTCGCCCTGCTCCGAGATGTGAGTTGCACAAGTTGCCTGAGCAGGGCACAGCGGAGGAGCAGGAGGAGGAGTAGGAGGAGGAGGAGAAGATGCAGAGGGACGAAGAGAGGGATATGGTGGTATTTGGGAGGAGGCAGAGGGCAGTGGGAGGGAGATAGGATGATGATGGTCGGGGCAGGAAGGGGGACTCAAATGGAACTGATCCCAGGAGCCCCCATAATCTGTTCCTGGGGGTGCTCTTGGGATTACCCTGGCGTGGCCTCCAGGGCTCTGGGGGACTGCTGGTGCTCCTATGGGCCAACAAATTGGTCCGTTGCCCCCCCCCCCCACCCCCCTAATTCCTATGGCTATGCCGATGCCTATCCCCCCTTTTTCCAAGGGCGCCCCACCTTATGTATGCTTGCTTGTTTGCTTGCGCGCTTGCTTGCTTGTTTGCTTGCTCGCTTGCATGCTTGCTTGCTTGCTTGCGCGCTTGCACGCTTGCTTGCTCGCTTGCTTGCTTGTTTGCTTGCGCGCTTGCACTCTTGCTTGTTTGCTTGCGCGCTTGCTTGCACACTTTCTTGCTTGCTGAGTTGCGGGTTCCAAGCATGCTCGATGCCTGGGATTCCTTGATTTGAGTCGTCTAATCTGTTTGGGGTCAACGCTGGCTGATATTGTTTCCTCAGGGCAGTCCTCTCACGCGTTGGAATCGGCACGCGGTGCCGGGGGAGGGGCAGCCGCGGTGAACTGGCGGCGTGGCGCGGCGGTCAGTCTTGTCAGTGTCGAACGCGCGCCGCTCTCGAGTGCCAGTGAGACGTGGCTCGCTCGTTGATCACCACCTACCAAAACCACACCAACCCAACCCGAAGGCCTCAATTTGCGCTCCATTTCCAGTGGGGGGGGGGTCGGGGAACGTTGAAAAAACACATGGTGCCCGTACCCCCCCCAACCCGAAATTCGGGTCAAATTCGGGTCTTCGGGTTGGGTTGGGGTGGTCTAGGTAGTCAGTTGAAGTTGAAGAAGGAATGATGGCGCAAGTCCGCGCGGATTTCTCGGGCCGACGCTGGACCATCTGACGGCGCCTCTGGCGCCGCCCTTGGTGCGCCCCGCGCACCAGGAAAGGGGCATAGGGGAAACGTCTGGACGCCCGAAATGGGTACGGAAAGAATGGGCACAATGCCCAACAGCAGTTCCTGTTCATTTTGAACAGGGCTCGCTGTCCGCGCCGCCGCGGCCTGTGCCCATTCGAGACAGACGGCCGCCTGCCCAACAGCGGCCGCTGTTGGTTTGGGACAACTTTTGTCGTTGGGCCTTGTGCCCATTCTTTCCGTGCCCATTCCGGGCGTCCAGAAAACGGGCCTTGAGGGAGCGGTTCTTGAGATTTTTCGCGGCGTTCGGGCTCTCGGGGTTCTCCACGGGCCCCGGGATGGTCAGAAAACGACTCGGGATGAAGAGTTGGTCTCGGGGAAAGGCCCCAGGGTCCAGGAACCGTTTGCATCAGGACTCGTGCCCCCCGTGCGAATGAGGGGTCTAGCGCCGACCCGAGAAATCTGCGCTGACTTCAGACAGTTAATTTCTGTACCGTCGTTCCTCTTCTGAGGGGGGCGAAGGGGAGGGTAGGGTTCGCAAGGTTCCTGCCCGAGAGACGGGAAGCGGCGTCTGTCTCGTGCATTGTTGGTTGCATTGGCGCTGATTTCGGCGACAGCGATGGCAACCGCAACCTGGAGCGAGGAGGAGGAGGAGGCGGAACACGTCATTACCAGGGTGTCACGATTTGGCCCACCAAGCTAGCCAAACAGCAACACTTACACCTCGGACACAAGCCGCCAACCAACCGACCCTACCCAGCGCACAGTCGTCCTACCAGCAGACCCATCAACAAGCGGAGAAACCACCCACGACAGCACCGACCCATTGTAACCTGCCCGCCTTATACTTGGTCTGGGTGGCCTTCGGGGCATACCTCGGGGAGAGACCCAAAAGGGCATGCATGTTTCTCTCCTTGTCCTTTTCGACAAACAGTCTGGCATCCAGTATTGTCCGATTTGAGTTCATCGAGGTGCACTGTCGTACATTGTTCTATCAGCAGGCCGACCCCCAGGCAGAGCAACCGTCTATGACAGCATCGGCTTCCTGTACTTCGGCCAGGAGGGGCCGTCACGCTGCCATATCGGGTATGGGAGCCCACAGGGCTTACTTCGGGGAGGGGCCAAAGGGTCAAGCAGAGTACTACCTACACTACACTACTTATGCATGCCGGCAATTATGATGCCTATATCATGCTCGTTTCTGTTTGTACAAAGGCTGAGGAATTCCATACTCTCGAGTTCGCTGGACCATGCGCTGATCAACACCATCGATTTGGCACACACATTTCTTGCACCACGAGTCCTTCAGAGGGACGCGTATTATTTCCACTTCGATGATAACTGCAGCAACGCTGCTCAGATGCTAAGCTTGGCTTTCTGCCTGCGAGTGCTCAATGCCGCAGCCTCTGCCGTCATGGTAGATGGCACCCCGGCCCGCTACGTATGCATGGTACCACCCTACAGCACAGTATTGACGCTTTGGTGTACGCGTCGACGACTCCGTGCTCCGCGATTTGCCTGTCGGGGGCTACATGCGAACCCTAGCCTGGACACCCGCAATGGAGATCTACATGACGCGTTCCGTCAAATGCGATGACCAGCTCACACGCGAGCGTAAGCACCTACTGGAGGCAAACTACCGCTAACACTACCGGACATCATCCAATCATATCCAATCATTACATCGACGACGGTAACGAAAGCCAGCCACCACTACTGTCTAAGGAAAAACGCGTGCCACAGCCCACACCACTGCAGCGCATAACCACGCACGATCCGACACATGATCCACAAGCAGCCACAGCATTGCGAGCCCAAGTGCAGCACAATACGCAGGACGAGGTGGTGAACGTGGATATCGCCAGGAGGTTCGTGTACATGTCACTTTGGCTTTGATGCGATTACTTACGTGTCCGTACAACTGAGGACTGGGCATGCAATACACAGTCCAGCCACATCGCGATCGCAGAGTTGCCTGGTACCACCGGGGCAACTTCCAGTTACTACAAGAACGACGTGGCGAAGTTCGATTGTAATGGGAGCAAATCCACTGGCAGACGGGCATCGCAAGCCACTGGGCGCTTCGCCCTTACGACATACCAGATTACCGTGACCTCCATAGACGTGAAGACGACGAACATGTCGAACCTACCATACCACGACAAGGGACACCGAACGACTACCAGCACCAGAAGATCACCATGACTCCGTGGAACGAGCTTTCAAACGATATTGGCCGAAACAGAGTTCAACTTAAGTACTTACACTACAACATTGACGGCACAGAAAGAGACCGCAGGGAGACACTGTACAATATACACATATAGATATGTAGGTATACGTGTATACCAGAAGCAAATCAGTTAGCGATACGACTTCGCAGTTGATGAGAACAGTGGCATGTACTCACGACGCCAGGGCACGGACGACAACATGTCCACCTGCTCAATGACCGACAGCAATAACAATATCACAACCAGCTATTAGATACTTTCACTGACAAGCCTACCAGCTGACTGCATACATTCGGAGTAGCAGCGCTCCACCTACCTTGGACTACACTGGTCATTTACAGGGCGCGCCGGCGCGTCGCGCCACTAGCGATTCATGGGCAGCCCCATCACGTCGAAGGCATTCCATTGCTTGACAGCATTATACAGCAGCTCAGCCAGTGGACAGGAACAGTGAGAGCCACCACCACCGACGTAGCAGAACGCGCCACTGACTCAGTACGAGCTACTAGAACATACATCCCCTGTATGAGATTTTTCATATATGCTAAAACTTACATGTCTGGGCGCTGTCGTGAGCTGTGGTCTGGGAGTGATTTGTTCGTTGTGCTTTTATACAGGGAGATCTGTACAACTGCGTGGAAATGGCCAGGAGTGACCTCCCCCTTCGTGAATTAAACACATACGCTAGCAATGGCACCCCAGGGAGAACCCCGCAAAGCTTTCCCGCACCTCTGATAACGGGGAAATAACCCAGAAAGCCCGCACTGACCTTCTTCAGTCGGCGGACTCACCAACGGCCACCACTACGATCTACCCCAGCACAGCGCAGTTCTGGGCACGCCGTCCACGCGTGCAGTCAGGCCCGCGGTAGTCCTGCACATGCCGCGCCCAATTGGAGAGACCTTCGCATGGGCGAAGGCCACGTGTACTACCGCGCGATACAGGCACAGCTACTAGAGCAACGTCGAGTAGAGCAGGCGGAGCACGAGTGCCAAGACCTGCTACGGAAGCGCCGCGCGGGGCACAAACCTTCCCCAAAGCAAGCCCCCAGGCCAAATTTTGTTGCACATCGAGTTCCCGACGCCGGAGCAACGCCGCAGTCAATCTCAGCAGCCGACTCCGCCGCCAATCCCACCACCCGTGCCAGAAATGTCCGCTCCAGCATCTCTTCCCGAGGCTTTGCCACCCATGGCAGAAGCACATGCGCCAGCAACCGCCGCTATCCCATGGAGCTGCCGAGTGCGACGACGCAAGGCCACCACCGTCCACGCCCGTGGCGTCACCTCAAAGGATTGCGCCGACACCCGCCGATGACCCGCGGCCCAACGAAGACGCCCACAGCGACTGCGACAGCGAAAGACCCGCACCCTTCACACTGACATCGCTACAGCCACATCCGCCGCATGACATGCATTGCTCACCGGGATGGACAGCATATCGCGCCATGGAAGACGACGGCTTCATTTACGAGATCTGATAAAACGAGCGGGACAACATCTTCGCGCAAC